CCCCCCCCCCCCCCCCCCCCCCCCCCCCCCCCCCCCCCCCCCCCTGCACCTCCCTCCCCGCCCCTAGGGGGAGCCTGCCCAAGTATCCTGGAACCGGGGCTTCCAGGCCTTTGTGTGTGCTCACGCTTTACCAGGTTCTCTCATTTAGATGTAACTTCTGCTAGGCCAGCCAGCGCACCTTGTTGAATTTCATATGTCAGGGAGAAGGAGGTACTAGAATCTTGTGCCCTGCTCCAGCCAGCTAAGTCCCTTACTGTGTCTCCTTGTGGTGAGATGTCATCCCGCATCTCATAATGCCTCTTGGATCATAATGCCATCATAGGATGTTGGGAGAAATCCTACCAATTTAAAAGTGTAAATCAACTACGAGATGCATTCCAACATTGGGAACCATCACAGGGTGAAAAAGGATGTGTCTGAGTGTTAAGTAAAGACACAATTGAAACCGCAGCGTTTAGCATCACCGAGGAGTGGCACGTTTCGGCCCTGAAACAGTGCTGAGGTCACCCCGAGCAGGGAGGCCTGCTACAGCATCCTTTGCTACCCCCTCTTCAAGGCCCACCCGACTCTGCGTCACCAGCCCGATGTCAGAGACGCTTATGTTTGTTTGTAGGAGAAGAAGCTTCTGAAAGTTTGATGAACCTCAGCCCTTTTGACATGAAAAACCTTCTGCACCATATTCTGAGTGGAAAAGAATTTGGCGTTGAAAGAAGCGGTAAGTGAATGCTCAGTTCACCTCCCGGGACAGCGGCACAGGGGGCCGACTGGTGTGCCCAGGGTTGCCTACAACTGCCACTGTGGACGGCATAGACGAGGGTAGGCTTCCTGCTTTAGGGAGATGGACGGTCCCTGGGTTCAAGATTGGGGCTCCTAGGCCTTTGTGACCCCTCGTAGGCTTGCTGAGAGCGTTGCCATCGCACGTGGGTGTGGTGTGCACCCCTCTGCGCTCTGGCCTGCGCCCTCCCTCCTTCCGCTGGCCCCTGTGCACGGGTGTGAGGAGGGATGAGGTGAGCAGGGTGTAGGGGTGGAAGGGCTGTCTTTTCCCAGCTCCTGCGTGCCCCACCTTTGGCTTGGGTAGAAGCACTCTCGGCCACACTCCCGTTACCCTTCAGGGGCGCAGGGTCCTCCACATGCTCTCAGCACCTTTGTGCTGAGAGACTGAGCTTCACTCCATCTTGTTCACTGAGTTTTGATCTGTACCAGAACCTTCTTTGCTGTGCTAGGAAGTAGAATCACCCAAGTCCTGGTGGAATTTTGTTCTCAAATGCTCCCTAATTATAATTGAAGCAATTATCATCTCTCCTCCTAATAAAGCAAAATGATTTGCAGACACATTGGCAGATTTATTTCATCACGCCAAAGAAACGCCGTGCAGGCTGTCATTCTTTTTATTTAATGAGAAGGACATTGGGTACTTCGTATTTTTTCCCCAGAGCGCACACCAGCCAGCAAACAAAGGCGGCGGCATCATGCAATCAGACGTGTTTTGGTCGCTTTTCTCCTTTCCTGAAGGAGGAGCGCTCGAGATCCTTTTCCAAAAGTAATTTCCAGTTCTTTGAAATGCACAGTCCTTGAAACGTAAATATGCGAGATAAATATTTTATGTGTTCTGTTCATCAAAATCATATACAGGGTTTGATGCAGATAATTACTGAAAATTTGTTATTATAAAGCTGTAGATGCTTACAAAATTGAGAAGAGACTAGTGTCACTAGAAAGCTATAAATATGTCTGGTTGCAAGCAAGGCCAGAAGAGGTCCGTCTTACATATAACATCATTTTATTGTCTTCTGTCATTGTTCAGTTTTTATAAGTTAGGAAACTCAAATAGTCTTAGAATTTTTTTTAAATTCTGAGATGTCAGAGATCTTTCCAGCCACTGCCCACCCTACATTGGCCCTACTGTAGCTCCTCAGACCCCTTTCGCTTCTGGTTTCCACTTTCCTGGTGTCCTTCCTCGCTCTCCAGCTAATCTTTGTGATTCTTCTGCGACTCCCTTCCTCCCTGCTCTCCTTTAAATGTTGGTGTCCCCTGGCTCCTTATTTGTCGCCAGTCTCCTAGGCGGTGCCCTCTACTCCCATAGCTTCATTGAGGGCTGGGTGGGAAGGCTGGGCACCCAGGGGAGCTGCTCTAGGAAGTGGCCTTTGAGCTGGGTTTGCAGAAGGAGAAGGTGCGCCTGGCAGAGGGGAGCAGGTGGGATGGGAGGCAGCAGCACATACAAATGCCCGGCACCATGTACCTGGCTAGGAGTGTGGAGCTGCGAGGGGTAGGTGGGACTCAGGTCGGGCAGGCTTTATCCTGAAGACAGAGCTAGGCCTAGAAGGATTCCAGGCGTGCAGTGACGTGATGACACTTGCCTTTTCGAACGATAGCTGGGACCGAAGCACAGAGAACCGGTTAGCGGGGAGGGGCAGGACGCAGACAGACCTGAGTCCGGAGGCTGCTAGAGCGGGTTGGAAGTGAAGGGATGGCGGGAGCGCGTGGGTTCTTCTCCACTTGTGGCCCTGGGGCCGCTTGTTCTCCTGGGACTTCCCTCTCCAGTCCCAAGGTCCCTTATTTGAGTGGTCTCCATTTTTTACAAGGAAGGTGTGCTTTTGGAGAGTAAATTATTTTTTAAAAACAATTCGTTAAAGGGTTTGATGGCCGCTCTGGTTTTTTTGCGTGCTGCTCAAGCGATGGTCACTCTCTCACCCATTCGCTGGACGCCTGCGGAGCCCGCGCTGTGTGGCAGGTGCTGTTCCAAGTGCTAGAGACAGAGCACTGGTCAGGGCAGACGAGGCTCTCTTCTAATGGAGTTTGTAAGCACGTGGGGCAGATGTGGATAAAAATGCGCACATTGCACGCATTCCTCCCCCGGGGCGGGGGCTGCTAATAGTATCTAAGAGCCCTGTGTGCGTTTCCCCTCCAGTGCGACCCATCCATTCCTCCACATCCAGCCCTGCCATCTCCATCCATGAGGTGGGACACACGGGAGTCACCAAAACCGAGAGGAGTGGCATTAACAGGCTGAGGAGCGAGATGAAACAGGTAAGACGGAACTCTCGGTGGCGGTGCCGGGAAAGAAGTGGTTTTCATACCTGGACTCACCTCAGAAAGTGATAGAACCCCAGGGCATGCAGGGTGCGGCCTGCTCTTCGCAGAGGATGTGAGGTCCCCTCTGTCCTGAAATCTGAACACACTCTACCCAGATATCGAAAAATTATGTGAACATTCCAGAAAATATCCTTACCCACGTTTGTCTCTGTTGCGGAGAACCACGCTTCTCGGTGGTGGGCCGCAGCTATCCCAAAAGTAGAGCTGCGCAAAACGTAACTGAATCACCTCTCCGTCAAATGTGTCCTTCACGCCAAATGGCGAGAGGAATGTAAAAAGAGGATGGAATGCTCATGACACCTGTATTTGCCACCATCTACAGGTGTCTCTTTTCTTTGTTCGCGTTTTATTTCACAGTAAATTCCTTCTGAACTGACCCCACAGGACTGCAAGGCAGCAGCTTTTTAGTCCTACTGTGCCGGGTTCCCAGATGCTAGGACTTGACCGATGTACAGAGGGAAGGAGAGTTTCGTTCTGACCATGACCTGAGTGTGAAACGGACTCAGGTTCTCCTCTCCATTTCAAATGGTGGTGACTCGCTAGATGGAGTCCACGAGGTGCTAATGGGTCACACCCAGCAGTTGGGCCAGCACTTCCCTGGATTTTCCAGAGGGTGATGGAAGAGGTAGGGCATCCTTGGTTCGAAAGTGGCTTGTGTTTACTTCTTGCTGTATTTTTACTTTCAGATGACTAGGCGATTTAGTGCTGACGAACAGGTGAAACCTCTGTCTTGTTCTGTCCTTCACGTGTGTGTTTCGTGTCCTTTCTGGCTTGCATGCGGAAAGCGAGGCTGGGAATACGGAGAGCAATTGCGTGGAGACTGGTTTTGCCCGTCCAATGGGCTTGAGTGGAGGTGACTCTGCGGACTGCGGCGGGCAGCCCTGGGGACAGGCAGAGTGCCGGACTTGAGAGCAGGGGAAATGGCCTTGCCCCATGCCTTTAAAAAAGTCCATTTATCAAGCTCTTGGGTTTTATAGGATGCTTTGTGAAAGAGATGGTTCTGGGCTCTGCCTCGGCAGGAGTTTCTGTTCAAAAAAAGGGAAGTAAATAGGGAAAGGTAAAATGTGGTCATCGAGTATATGAATAGAAAGAATACTGTTGTCCCTGTCTGCAGGTTGCCTGGGGGAATTTAACCCTGCAAGGAAAACAGTGTGAGGATACCACTCTTTTCATATCACCCCTGGGACGTGCTTCCTCCTCGTCCCTCCAGAAAGTCGGAAGCGCGTTCCTGACGATTTAACGTGCGTGACTGAGAGAACTAAGAGGAGTGATACAGTGACCCCCAGCTTCTGTGTGTCGTCTTCCAGGCTAATTTATGCTCCATTTCCGAACACCTCCCTTTGCTAGCCACTCGGTGGCACCATATCCCGGCAGTGGCTCACTGTGGGGGGATGTGGGCGGTTCCTTCTGCCTCCATTTAATACCATCCTTACATATTATGGGGACAAAATGATCTACTTTGGTAGGCTTAGATTCAGCCAGTGCCAGTTTTATTTTGGGCCACTTATATCAAGGAAATAACGGTCTCGGTCCAAAATTTTATAGGTGTCTTGGCATTTTAAATTTCTCTTCGCTTTTGCGAGAACACCACGGATGCACGGTTTGGGCGCAGGCCCTGCCCCCTGCAAGCTCAGGGGGTTTTTAGATGAAGAAATGCCTGTTTGGCCAAATATCTATTGGATGGCAGTAGGTGCCAGATGCGAAATGGCTGGTCATGGGTAGGTATTTTATTGGTCTCTGCAGCTTTTCAAACTCTTCACATAAAAGCTTAGCAGTTCGTGGCTATGACTGTGGAAAATAAAATGTGCCCTACCTTAGCGAGGCACATCCACATATGACTAGAATGGGTGACATTTCATAGTCTGAGAAAGAGCCTTTCCCAAGTTCACCGTTGCACGGTCCAGAGCTCCGCGCTGGCCGGCGCCCTCGGCCTAGATGGTGAGACTTGTGCGCCCACATCCCGTGTACCTTCTTTGCGCGGGTGCTTTCCATGCCTTGTGCGTTCCTCCTCTCTGTGTGTGTCCTTTCGTGTCACTGCCCATGACTGAGTGGACTCTCTTTGTTTTGTAGCTCTTTTCTGTGAGCCAGGCCGTGGCCAGCAGTGCACATTCCTCCAAGTCTGCGGTAAACCACGCACCCCGCCTGTTGTCCTCACCGCCTCCTCGTGTTGTGGTGTCTGAATGCTGTTGTTGCCCTTCTCGTGCACCTACCTCGTCCCTAACTCCCAAAGATTTGAACAGGTTTAAGTGTTTTCATTTGACTGTCGTTCTGAAGAGAGTCTAGAAAGAAAGCCACGAAGTTCTCGAATTGAGCTTTGTTGGCCCAGGAGCTTCTGGGACCTTTGAGGCATTGGTTCTGTGCCTTTCTTTGGAGCTCTGACGGTGAGCCACCGCCTGCACCTGCTGAGTGATTAGCACCTTGTACTCCTAATGCCCCGGCTTGGCTTGAGGCCCCAGATCAAGTGGAGGACTAGGAAATATTCTAATTGCAGAAGTGAGTCTTAATCTTCCTCTTGAAACTAGGAGAAAACCAGCTGAGTCATTGATGAGTGCGGCTGTAATTACTTTTATTTGTATCTAATTGTTGCCGTATTTAAGTGGCAGTAATGAGCCCAATGGAATAACCCAGCCTAACAGCCTCTTCAAAATAAGATCCGATGAAGTCCAAATGAGTACATAGGGAAAACTCCTGCCTCCTGCCCTGCTGGCACGCTTACCATTTGGATTTCATTTTTAAACCTTGAAGTTTGATATGCCTTGAGCAATAAAAGTGCCAGGTAGTCCGGAACACGATGTGTAAGGACGAGGGTTATCCCTTTCCCGCCCTGTAGATGGACGGGTTAGAAGCCGTCCTCCGGCGGAAAGCAGGCCGCGGGCGCTGCCACAGGGAGGCTTGCGGCACGGCCTCGCCCCCACGCTGAGCCAGCTCCGCTTCCAGGCCCCAGTCCAGGCCCCCACAGGGAGCCTCTCTGAGCTGCATCTGCATCGTGGGCGGGCCTGCTGGCCCTGCCCCAGCTCTTCCCTCCCGGAGGCCAGAGTGAGTCCGGCCTTGGGCTTGGGGGCTGGGAACAGGAGGACGCCCTCTCCCTCCGCTTCAGTAAAGCATGTGTTCTGACTTGGAGGCCACCACCGGCCCCAGGGAGCAGCCGGCCCCGAGCAGAGAACAGGCAGAATAGAAAGCGAGCCAAAGGACCAGATTCCCTGCCTTTACTTTTCGTCTTTCGTTCCAGAACATTCCCTCTCGCCTGCCCCCATATTATGTTACCTTCTCTGTGGCACCTAGAGTACAGGGAGGTGACCACCGCTTCCCTGTGGCACTGCAGAAGTGGGCATTAGGGCATTTATGTCCCTGGGCTATGGCACCTATAAGAGGTTCACCTACTCTGAGAGGGGGCGGGCGGCCTCCCGCCCCCCCGCCCTTCTGGAGCAGTGCCAGAGGGCCTCGGTGGTAACAGCTGACTCCTGTGAGCACTTACCACAAGCCAGGTGTGCTCTTGGGGTTTTCTGCGTCTGTATTCAGTGAGTGCTCACAGCTCCCTGAAGCAGGTCCGACCGTGACCCATTGTGCAGATGAAGCCGAGGCCCGGAGCTAGTGTTCAGGATTGATGTAGGTATGGCAAGTTGGGATTCACAGACTGACCCCAGAGCCCTCACTCTTACCTGCCCAGCCTCCCTGTCAGGTCAAGGTCCTTTGCTGCCGTGCTACCTCTTGAGGGCTAGAAAGAATACACAGGAGACCCATAACCAAACCGGTACAGGAAAGAATCGATCCAGCTTCAAGAAACGCACAAGTCAAATTAAGGAACTTTGTTCCTTTCTGGACACGTGGTCTGGTAGTTTGACTAGGTCACAGAGTCATCCCTCTTGATGGCCAGCGGTCCCTGCGGCTGCCGGCTCCGAGGTTTCTGAAGACCGTGTGTTGTCTGTCTTGCAGAGATCCAGCACCCCATCCTCGCCCACTGGCACATCATCGTCAGACTCTGGCGGGCATCACATTGGCTGGGGGGAGCGGCAGGGCCAGTGGCTACGCAGGAGGAGGCTGGACGGAGCCATCAACAGGGTCCCCGTGGGATTCTACCAGAAGGTGTGGAAGATCCTTCAGAAGGTAAGCTTGGCCGCTGTGCTGCGTTCCACTGGCCTTGTTGCTGGGGGACGGACACTCCCAGGGGAATGAACCATCGCCGTTAATTGCATCGCAAGGCATGGCAGCACCTACAGGGATCAGGTAGCCAGTCCCCGAGCTTGGGGAGTCCCAGCCTAGAGCAGGGTCTCTCCACCTCTGACATTTGGGGCGGGGCAATTCTTTTTTTGTGGGGGGGGGGGGGTCCCGTGTATGCAGGATGCTCGGTGACATCCCCAGCCTCTACCCGCTAGATGTCAGTGGCACCCCCAGCTGTGACAAGCGCAGATATCCCTGGACCTTGCCAGGTGTCCCTGGGACGCGCAGCAAATCATCCCGGTTCAGAACCGCCGGCTGGAACTGCAGCAAGTTAGATAAGGTGGCAGCCCGAGTGTTAGGGGGACCACCTTTGACATATTTTAGGAACACAGAAATGTCAGAAGATAGACAAAAACCAGGGAAGGCTTTGGCTGAAAACACTGTGACGTAGAGGGCCTGGAATGCGCGCCCCCCCGCCCCCGCCGGCGCGAACCCCCAGCGGGGTCCAATGGGGGTGGGGTCCCCACCGTTCAGCGACACGATCGAGCACCCCCTGTCTGCGGGGCACCGTGTCCGCTCCTGGGTGCCTGAGTCACCCCAAACCCCAACGTACCTGGGGCCACCTTTGCCTCTCCACCTAGAGGATGGGGGGACCCCAGACCCACTCCCCTTAGCTGGCTGCCCACTCTGTCTGTGGCCATCAGGGCTGCATTTCCCGGCTGTCTGGGGACGTGGAAATGTCTGCAGAGGCCGTCAGAGACAGCCGTACGGTGGAGACCCAGACCGCACCACACCCACCCGAATGCAGGAGGGCCTGAGTGCCAGGGGTCAGCGGGGAAGCTGTGCCCCTCTGCTGCCCGCACCCATGTTCCGTCTCCCTGCCGCACCAGCCCCAACGCACATCCTTCCTTGCACACAGTCTGCCTCAGTTTAAGGCTTCCGTGCAAATTAAGAACCATGGGCAGGACCAGTTTTTTCTTAAAACTATTTTTGTCAGCTCATTCATTTCGCAGTAGGAGAGGAAAGTAATCCCAAATGAGCACACGCTACAACCCCCTTCCCAAAGGCATAGCACCTCGCAGCGGTTGTACTCCGGTGGCAGGGGCCAGTGGTCCGTTAAGGAGCCTTAGCTTCTCTGCTGTGTGGAGAGTGAGGTCTTCATGCAACTGGGCATGGGGAGGTCAGAATGGTCCCTGTCCTTGTGCAGCTGGTCCTCACATGGGAGCAGAGCCCTCAGATCCCGCAGAAGCCTCTGCTTCTCCTTTTTCTACCTGCGGTCAGAAGGTATGGCCACTGCTGCCACCCTGTCCTCGGCCCACCAGCGCACCGGGACTGAGAAGGTAGCCAGTGAGATGAGAACAGACTTCCCGGAAAATCTCCCCACTCTTCCTGGGGCATCAGACGCTTCCATCCAGACTTCCACTAGTTCAATACCAAGACACTCTTATTATGAAAAAGCCGCATTTTGCGTTGAGCCGGCGCTCGATATTTATATACATGGGTGTGCGTGTGCATGTCTGTGCATGTGCTCAAGTCTTTTGTGATTGGTGCTTATTATAGAAATCTCAAAAATAGATGCCTGCAAAGGCACAGAAGTATCACTTCACCAGCAGGAGCCGTGAAAATATCCCTTTCTATGGCCCCAAAGGGTGCCTCGCAGCCGCCAGGGCCTGGTTGCCAAGTGAAAGGCGGAGCTGCCACAGAGGAGGACCCCGCGGCTCCCTGGGGCATCGTTCGCACAGGATCTGAAAGATGCCTGCTGGTTCCCTAGAACCGCTCCGTCGAAAACAGCCTGTGGGCAGTGAGAACAAGCTCTCTAAAAATAACTGACAGTCTGGCGTGTTCAGCCCCCATGTAGGTTTCCAGGGCAGAGTGACTTGGGTGTGTGCGAACGTGTGCGCACACTTACTAATCGGCTCCTGGAATCTGAACTGTGCGGTGTGTGTTCTGTCTCCAGTGCCATGGTCTGTCCATCGACGGTTATGTGCTCCCGTCCTCGACGACAAGAGAGGTATGATGAGAAACCCCGTCCCCCACCCCCTACGGATCCCCCCTCCCCACCCACGGCTTTCTTTCACCGTCTCCTAACACTCCCGCTTCTTTCAAGTGTGCTACGTCCACACAGGCCTTTTGTAAGTCCATCTCTTGAGCCACTTCACCTTCCAGTTTTGCTCTTTCCCGCATTTATCGGCATCACCTTTTCTTTGTCCTCGCAGAAATAGCATTTCTGACCGCCAAGATCTATACATTTGCTGTTTAAAGTGCTATTAAGAGAAAAGAGCAAAGCTGCCCCCACCCTCGTTGGGCACTCACGCAGTCTCCTTCGGCCCCCTCCACCGAGAACGCTTTCCAGGTTTCCTTCTTCCGATTCATTCTTTTACAAATTGAGTTTTTACTTCCTGTCCCACCCGAGACACCATGCTTTATGGCACAAGGAGTGACCAAGAAGAAAGAGGAATAAGAAAAGGGCCCTGCCCCCTGGACGGCCCAGTCCAGTGGGGGTAGGTTCATCAAGCTAGGACAAGGCCAACTCACCCGCACAGCAGGGTTCCCGGCCTCCTGCTCCAGAGGGTTCCAGCTGGTGGAATCAATGTGGCCAGAAAGGAGGCAGCATTCTGGAGCTGAGCCCTGGGCCCAGGGGGTGCTACGGTCAACGTTGGTCACAGGGCTGTCTGGCCTCAGCTCACTCCTGCCCCCCTGCCGGTCCCTTTGACAGATGACCCCACAGGAGATCAAGTTCGCCGTGCACGTTGAGTCGGTGCTGAACCGCGTGCCGCAGCCCGAGTACCGGCAGCTGCTGGTGGAGGCCATCATGGTGCTGACGCTGCTCTCAGACACGGAGATGAACAGCATCGGGGGCATCATCCACGTGGACCAGATCGTGCAGATGGCCAACCAGCTGTTCCTACAGGACCAGGTGAGTGTGTCCAGGCCCACCTAGTCACCCCCACAGCCGAGACGGAGAGAGGGGCAAGGTGATGGGTTGGCTGGCCTGTGTCTCTGTCAGGGCTGAGGATTTTGTGTCCAGTAGGAAAGAATATTCTCAAAGAAAATGTCACCACAGATGGTGGTAAAAAAAAAAAAAAAAAGTCAACCATTTGGTTAGAAAATGGCACAACGGCCGCTTTGGAAACCTAAAGATCTTTGCAAATGGATAGACTCGTTGTGGCTTAGGTTTTAGTGCGAGCACCACTCTTGCTGTGGATACGGCCTTGGATAAGCAGACCACTTACCCTGCGGCCAGAATCGAGGTAGGAGAAGCCGTGCTCTCGTTACAGAGACATTGCGCACTGCAAACTAGGCTGTGCGGCAGCACAGTGTGGCCCCCAGAGGAGAGGCTGGATGTTGGCCCTGGGCACCCTTGACTCCTGGCCTTGGGCTCGGAGCCCCTCTCTGGGGGCCGCTGGTCTCTAGCAACCTGATCGCCGGCGCACACAGCCATCACAGCACCGGGGGGCTGAATGCTGCTCATTCTTCGTGTTTTTTCCCGTTGCAGATGTCAATTGGAGCCACGGATACCCTGGAGAAAGACCAAGTCACAGGCATTTGCCACTTCTTTTACGACAGCGCTCCGAGTGGGGCTTATGGGACAATGACCTACCTGACAAAGGCAGTGGCTTCCCATTTGCAGGAACTGCTGCCCAATTCAGGCTGCCAGATGCAATAGGGCCTCAGTGCCCTGAGTCTGTCCCTCGCTCCCTAGCCTCGTCGGGAACATCCTGTTCTCCAAGATTCCCGGTGTGGTCACAAAAGCACGTCCCATCAGAAACCCTGGAAGCCACCGACCTAAAACCAGTGTGTGTCTAAGCCACAGAGCCGACGGATCGTGTGTCCCCACAGGGAGCACCATGGGGTCACTGTCTAGGTTCGCTTCCCTGTGACGTTTGCCAGAACAGACTCCAAGAGACTAGATGAGGAGGAATTAGAAACTGGTCTCTTTTGAGTGCAGTGTGAACGGAGAGGCCAGCTTAAATTGGCTTTCACCGAGAGTTCCCGAAAGCAGTCAGGTGGTCAGATATGCTAGTGACACCTCCAAGGATGGGAAGATCTTTGAGCAGCGGGCGTCTGACGAGCGGACCTTGACAAGGGGGACATCTTAACAGGATGTGGCCTGTGGACCAAACTGTTTACCAAATACAACTCTTTCTGTGCAACTTTGGTTTTCTTATGCCTTGCTTTCTTTCTAGGCCTCTCGTTTTACTGGCACTGCTACCTTTGCGTGACAGTCCTCTCTTGCCGAGATTTAGAAGAGTGTTCACAGTTAACTTTGGCTTGTGGTCTTCAAGGATTTTATCCTGGCTGCTTATGAATTAGAGATTTCTTCTGCCTTATTTAAAAAAAAAAAATCTTCTGGAATATAGCAAAAAAAAAAAAAGGGGGGGGGCAGGAGAGGTGCCAGCACTTCTAGCTGGGCCAACTGTTGTTTGGGGGCCGGAGCAGCAGGGAGTCCCTCTGGAAGGCCTGTGCCCCCCCACCTCCACATAGGGCGACAGCCCTGGCAGGCAAGCGGGGAGCCACACGAGGAGTACACGGTGCCCGATGCCATTTGTGCTGCCGCACAGGCAGTGCTTCTGTCTTAGCGGAGAGCCAGGCTGGCGACTCGAGCCCTTCTCGTGGGAGTGTTTTCCTCTCAGCTCCCAGGTAGGTGTGCTTGGGGAGCCAAGAACACATCCTCACAGGACAGGACCGTGTAGTCTTGGGCTGATGTTCTGGTGAATGGGGTTTTCTCTAGGCCTGGTCTTGCCTGGTGGGGGATGGGGCAACACCAGGGGAACACTTCCCGTGAAGAAGAAACTTCGGAGGACAGGCAGATGCATGGTGGTCCTCTGGTGCGCCCCGGCGGCTCGACCGTGACGGGTTACATTAGTGGTGGCTCCGCCTCTGAAGGGGGGCGTGGCCACGGGCCTGTGGCTCCGGGTTTGCGTGACGGTGGAGAACGTGGATGCTCTGGCTGCTTTGAGGGGACCCGGGGGTGCCCGGCCCCACCCAGAGTCCAGACGCAGTGCTGATGGTCATTCCTGAAGCAGGAGAGGCGGGGTGGCCTCGCGTTCCTGCCGCTTCCTGCTGAAGAGCCTCTCTCCGGTCCAGACCCAGGGGAGAGATGGTCTAGAAGTCCACGTCTCAGTGCTCCCAACCTGGGCTCGCCTTGCACAGGTGACTTCGTGACTTTTGTCTCCTGTTCTTGAAACCACAGTACTTTCTTCGCTCGGGCACAGGGTAGTTACATAAAGGAAAGCCCCGGCATCTCGCACTTTCTGCTCCACTGGACTTCTCCCCTTCTCTTCTTTCCCTTCCCTATTAATGTCAGCACATGTTGAACACTTTCTCTGTGCCAGGTGTGGGAACACAAAGATACAGGAGGCGTGACTCGGCACTCAAGGACCTCACCCTGGCAAGGCAGGCTGGTGTGAAAAGATGAGCACACTTTAGGGTGGCGGGGGCGGTGTTAGAGAGACAACACGGTGTGGGACCGGAAGGTGGGGCCTGCCCAGAGCACCGGCATCGGCACAGATCTGAGCCCGTGCCGGCAGCCTGGCCTACCGCTCCTGCCCACGCGGCACCTGGCCTCGCGCCACGCTTCCCCCGAGCTCCTGCAGCGCTTCCTGTTCGTGCCCTGCCTTTCCTGGGAATCCTGTTTGGTCTCATTTGCCTTTGAGGGTCTGGGATTCGGAGGTGGTCACAGCCACCCTGGTTTCAGACTAACGTTTTCATAGCCTCGCTCGTCAGCGTCTTTAAGACACGCTTGGCGTAAACAAGGATCGTGTAATTCACCTGATAGACTTCCTAGAGGATCATTTGAAACACAGACGATGTAAGAAAGGCACCAGCTGTGAAAGTCCTGGTTGCTTCTTGGAAGAAAGCTCAAGAAGAGTTACAGCACTCCAGAATGAGCCAGATGCTAATTTAGAACATCACCTGCCTGTGGATGACGTACAAAACCACAGATGCCGTGTTCGGGCTCACCAACCGCGATGCGGGCCGGGAGAAGAGCCACAATAAGCAGTTCAACGGAGCCTTCGATTCACTCTTTTGAAGCCTCTTTCAAATAAAATCCTGAAATAGTATCACATTTCCACAGGCATCAAGCTGTCAGCTTCAAAGAAGGAGAACAGGCTTCTGACGCTCGATGCAGCGGAGGCCCACGCCACCGCGGGGAACAGATGCTCCAGGGGGACGGTAGAGACCCCGAGCCGCCTCTGTCCTGGCCTCCGTCCTCAGAGCAGAAAGGCCAGTTTTGACCTGTGCTGGGCGTGGGGCAGGAGTAGCAGGTCCTCTCGCAGAGCCGGGAACAAACATTTCTTTTAACATCCGTTGAAAATCCGTCAGCCACCCCACCTGCTGCTCGCCCTGCTTTGACCCAGGTGAAGCCAGCAGCAAGGAGGAAAGTTCTGTCTCCGGGTCAGGCTAGCCTTCCATCCCACCTCTGTGACCTGGGGGTGAGTTACGTAGCCTCTGTGCGCCCCCGTTTGCCCACCCGTCAAATGCACACGAGGCCCGCACACTGGCACGGGGCTGAGTGTGAGGGGATCACAGGGATCACGCCTTCCGCTCCCCGCCTCTGGCGGTCAGAACCTGGAGCTCCCCGTTCACGAGAATCCAGATTTTCCCAATGGCAGCTCCTAGCCGGGCCAAGGGCCAGGGGCAGGAGGGTCTCTGGGTCGTGCCAGTGTCTGACGGGGTCGGGGGGGGGGGGGCATCTGTCAGGAAGTCAGGGCTTCTGCCACTTTTCTGAGGCCTAGTCAATGGCAGGAGATTGTTACACATTAGCTGCCTGGGTAGAGAGAAGTTAGATGCTCCCTGTGTTTAAAAAAAAAAAAAAAAAAAAAAAACACACAAAAACACACACACAAAAAAAGGAAAAGAAAAAAGCCCAGATCAGGAGGCAAGAGAAACAGTTTGTCAGCTGATTGATACCATTTATTTCTGGACAAGACGACAGGAGGCTCAGCCTCCCTTGATGTAAATTACAGCAGAACCGTCACTCAGTTCTACAGACACGCACGCAAGTCTGGCAAATGGCTTTTGTCTTCCCTGCTTCCTTGTTGTCAGAGGGTACAAAAGCCTCCCTCCCCCTCCCTTGGTGCCATTATCTTTCAAGGTGACTCTTATGCTTTTGAAATCCCTGCCATCTGTTCTGTGTCTTTGCACTTTGCATGGTCCCAGAATGCCTTCTGTTCTCCCAGACTTGGCCACCGATTCGATTCCTCTGCTTGCGAGGAGAAAGCAAAGCCTCGCCATCACCCTCTTAGAGCCCGGTGTCCCTTTGCCCTCCTCAGAAAGCCGTTTAGGAAAAGCCATGTCCTTTGAGTTACCAAGAGAGTTCTCTGAGGCATGAGAGGAACTGAAACCACAAGAGACTATTCTGGAGTCTAACACATGGAGTGTTGGATGGTTGGGGAGAGGGAACGATTCCACCAGAAAACCACTATGTGTGTTTTTAAGGAACATATGTGCACTTTTGGCAAAAACGCCTTCTTAGAAGGAGTGGGATAATCGGAACCGATGAACTCTGCAGTCATGTGATGCGTCCCTCTGCCTCATTGCAATATGTCAACCCTTGTGAAAAATGAACTGCTCAGAAAGCATCTATTAGGGCCTACTTCAGGCTAGGCGTTGCTCGGCTCGCGGGAATATGGACGAGCGTGGCGGGATGAAAAAATGCCTCTCGTTGCTGAAGACCTCTGAGGAAGGACACTGCCCAACCTGCTGGGATGCATTCCCAGCATAGGCCTCCCAGGACATCTGCTAGCTGTCATTTCTGTCACCGGCACGTGAGTTCCAGAGAGGTTTGCTGCAGAGGGAAGCAGGGCCGCGGGCAGTAGCTCAAGGCGGAGGGGAGGGGGGTTTCATGGCACAGCAGGTCTAGGGGGACTGCATCTGGGAGGCAGAGGGAAGGAAACGAGCGCCCGAGGGAACTGAACTTCCTCCGCTCCTCCTGAGATGCCAACAAGCTCCCAGAGCGGCCCCCGCCCTGCTGCCGTTCGGGGCGTGAAGCGGGGAAGTAGAGGCGGGCAGAGGACTGCAAGGAGCTATTCCTGTTCCCTTCCTCAAACCTCCACCCCCGTCTCTGGCCTCAAACCCCTGCAGTCCTCACACCATCTTCAAGTAAACGTGCACAAGTGCGCACACGGCTGTCGGCCTGCCTCTGCCTGCGACAGTTCCGGAGATGGGGCTGTGACTCCTGTGTCTCGTGGGCCGCCAAGGTGCCCTGGCTGGGAACCGTCCCCAAGGCTCACCTTCAGGCAAGCCTCTGCCTGCTGTCGCCTGCCCCTGAGCCCTACACCGAGGTTTCTCCCTGTCCCCAGCCCAGAGGGCTCAGACCACGGGCACTCCCCCGCCTTTCAAGTCGGAGCCTTAGAAAGCACAGGAAAGACGGAGGCCAAGGCCTTCTAGGCTCTAAAGGCTTCACGTTCTGCAGGTCGCTCCAAGGCTGCTTCCTCTGCGCTTTAAATAGATGTGCTGTGCTGAGTTTTAAATTTGACACATTTCTTTTTTTGAACTTAAAAAAAGCACAGTGGAAAGCAAGCAAGCAAGACACTTAGTGACTCATCTTCGGGAGGAAGGGAGCAGCTCCCTCCCTGATCAGAGGCGGTGGTCAGGAGAACATTCCAGGAGGCTGGCCGGGGCGTGGTGTGTACCTTAAAGGGGAGAGAGTGGAAATATGGTGGGAGTAGGGGAGGCCAACAGGATTGGCTCTGAGGAGTCCCTAGAATAAGTGACCTTGTCTTCTGAGGGTCTTACTTCTGGGCCAACCTCACGTGTGTTGGAAAGACGGAGGCCAGTGGCAGAGATTTAAACTGTACATCTGTACATCCCTCCAATATTGGTAAAGAACGAACCTATCCTCATCGTACATTTGCTTAGCTGCCAGACCATTATTAGCACCAGAATTTTACAGATGAGGAAACTGAGGCTCAAAAGGCCTAGGCATTGCATAAGTTCTCCTATTTCAGATCAAGATGAAAGCCTGTGTTTCAAGACTGCGTGTGTACCTAGATCTGGGCAAAAGAACACTGCCTTTACCAATCTACCTCAAGAGAGACCCATTTCCTTGGTTTACACAAGGTTTGGATGGTACATATGGGGACAAGTACTGCAGGGGACAGGAATTCCCAGTTTCGCCTAAAGGGGTTTAGAAAACCCAACGCAGCCT